TGAGCAGACACCTGCTTGCATCATTACCCCCAGGCTTCCCCCGCCCCACAGCCTCTAAACTTTCTAAACAGACTTCCCAAGATTCCATGGTGTCCTCCTTCCTCCAGCATCCCTTTCCTGGGGCTGCTGTCTGCCTGAAAGAGCTTCCCTGCAGCATGCGCTTGCAGCTCAAGGTCTTCTGAACTAACTCTCTGGCCATCTGGAAGACTCTGTTCTGCATCTGTGATGGCTCTGGCCCTGACTGAACCATCCCCCAAGGTTTGTTACTTCTCTAAAAGAGTTCCTGCCGGGCACCGTGGCTCAAGCCTATAATCCCAGCACTTTGGGAGACCGAGATGGGCAGATCACGAGGTCAGGAGATAGAGACCATCCTGGCTAACACAGTTAAACTCTGTCTCTACTAAAAAATACAAAAAAAAAAAAAAAAAAAAAAAAAAAAAAAAAAAGGCTTGGCGAGGTGGCGGGCGCCTGTAGTCCCAGCTACTTGGGAGGCTGAGGCAGGAGAACGGCGTAAACCTGGGAGGCGGAGCTTGCAGTGAGCTGAGATGGGGCCACTGCACTCCAGTCTGGGCGACAGAGCAAGACTCCCTCTAAAAAAAAAAAGAATTCCTGTCCAACATTACCCCTAACCTACCCCCCCTTGAAAGTCCATCCTGTACATCTGCCACTTACAAGCCACTGTTAACACAAGTGCATCTGAAACTCATCAGCCATGTGATAAATGTGTACTCCTTGGAAAAAAGGGACAACCCTTCCATACAACTTGGTCTGAGAAGGGGTTATTTCCTCACACTCCCTTTAGCTCCTCATTTCTTTCACAGTTTGTGGTTTCCCATTTTCAACTATTGCTGTTTTTCCACCCCCTAACAAAAAGATTCATTTATTTTGGGACAATCAAGGCTAAAATACACAATCCCTTTTCTACAATTCCAAACCCTCAAATCTCTGTAAGTCAGAAGGATTTTTGTTTTGCAAGTTTGATGCCAAAACTCATCTGGCAGCAAAATCTGACCTAAACTGATGTGAAGTTACTTTATCCTCACACCTGCTTAGTGTAAACTTCATGTATTTTGCTGCAGAAATATTAATGTGTCTGATTTCAATATGCTGATCAAGGTTTCACTGAGGATATTTCGAAATGTATGGTACCTTTCTGAATTTAATGCCTCTGGCTTCAAGGGCTTCAGATAAAGCTGTGAGGAACCGTTCCAGCCTCTCTGTTCTCCTGTGACAGAACTCTTAGTGCAGAAGAATCTCTAAGATCTGAGGTCTTGACTTCTCATGTGAGAAGATAGCGAAGTGGATCAGTGAGGGCCACAAGGAAACCAAGAATTGCAAATCTTCTAATGTAGAGAGAGAATTAACAAAGTCATTTGTCAATGAATGGATGTGGGGGCTGGAGTTTGTCTTCAGTGTTTCCTACAGTTTTTGTCCTGTCCTTGACTTGTGTGACTGTTAGCAACCTGTGTAAAGTCCAACCTCTCTGAGCCTAGACTTTAGGAGAAAACTAGCTCCTGAGAACTCCTGCTCCAGTGATGTTGATGATGACTAACACACACAATACATCTTGAGTTTTTAGAAAATGAAGTACTGTATAGCTTTAATAATGTTTTTAAGTAAATAAGTTTAATTGGAATAACTCAGCAAATATCTACTGTGTGTTCACTCTGTGCCCAGTTTCATACTGGGCTCTGTGAGGTAGTCAACTGTAAGGTACAAACTCTGGACTTCAAGGGGCTCATATTCTGATAGGGAGGCCAAGTATCACTGAGTGAAACAATCAGAGAAAAAAGCAAATGTGCATACAGGTGATAAGATGGTGTAGACCTGCAGGAGAGCTGAAAACTGCTGGCCAGGGCAGTTTTGGAAGGTGGTGCAGGAGGGAAGTCTTGGTTTGGGTATGAACAGACGAGAAAACACTTTAAGCATGTTTCCTAGGTAAGAATGAAGAAGTTTGTGGGGGAACACTCTGAAGAAAAACAACTTCACTGGGATCAAAGGACCGGAGCCTGAACAAGATTCTTGGGGTAAGGATGTGCTGAAAATGTGTTTATTAGTCAGCTCAGGCTGCCACAGCCAATACCACAGATGTGGAGCTTAACCACAGAAGTTAATGTTCTCACAGTTCTGGAGCCTGGAAGTCCCAGATCAAGGTGCTGGCAGGTCTTGTTTCTTCAGAGGCCCTGCTCCTGGCTTGCAGATGGCCTCCTTCTGTTACTTATGCAGGCTTTCTCCTGAGGACATACAGAGAGAAATGGGAGATCTCTGGTGTCTCTTTCTCTTCTTATGAGGACACTAGTCCTATTGAATTAGGGTCCACCCTTATGACCTCATTTTGCCTTAACTGTCCCTTTAAAGGCCTTATCTCCAAATGCAGTCACATTAGGGGTTGGGGCTTCATTATGTGAATTTGGTCCGGAGAGGCACAGTTCAGTCTTATAACTGTGTGCATGTGCCTCAAGAAAGCTGGGTGTGTCTGGGCAATGTGGGAGGACAAGAGGTCTACCATGGGATAGGGAGGGTGGCAGGGCTGGAGCTCTGAGCAGACACTGACATGAACTGAGCAAATGGACATAGAGGACATCAGAGAAATGAGAAATTTTCCAGCCAGAACTTCCTGGCCCACTGGGCTCAACCCTCACAAGTTCAAGTGCTGAAGCCAGATTGTATTCCCTGGAGCACTTCCTGGCTGGAACATCTCCATCATTTCCTGCATTTTTCTGTCCTTCCCTAGCATCTTTGGTCTGTTGTAACCTTACCTGGCTAGCTGCAGGAAAGTGTGAGATTATTATAGAGTTATTTTGCACAGAGCATCTATTCACATCTGGTTGGCTAATGCTGATAATTACCATGCTGGTTACTAAATCTGTCGGGTCTGGGTGAGGTGAGGCGCTACAGCTGGGGCTGCTGTGCACAGCTTTGCCAGCGGAGAGAGAGGTGAGAACAAAAACCAAGAAAGGTGTGCTCAGATGCTTGGGATTGAGTGAAACTGGTTAATTACCAGTCACTTGCTGTCTCCCTGAGTTGGAGTTTCTGGCTAAGGAATGCTCACAGATCAGACAGAATATGACAACCTGCAACTTATTTCCACATTAAGAGGGTGGCAGGGACCAAGATGCAGAGAAAGTGTGGAGATAGCCTCTCAGGTGCCAGAGCCTTGGCCGGATGACTCAGATGGCCTCAGAACAAGGTACAATTCTCCAGCAGGGTGCAGGACCAACTGGACTCCTTATGCAGAGAGCTGGGGATCAGATACAGCCTTGGAGCAGAGTCTATTTGCCAATAGATGAAGGTTCTTAATCAGGGCCCTAGATTAAGTTTTAATGATCCATGAACTCTCCTAGAGTTGCATGTCAACATGTCTGTATGTGAGTAAGCATTTTTATAAGAAACAGATCCATAACATTTATGAGATTCTTGAAAGGTTCTAAAGGGTCTGTGATCCCCAAAAGGAGAGTGATTATAAACTACTGTCCTAGACCCCTGAAGAAACAGGTTGACATTGGACAGAGCCCTAAGAGACTCAGGGTTCCTAATGATCCTGAAAGTACACTCAAGGGTGTGTGTGTGTGTGTGTGTGTGTGTAAATGTGTGTGTGTGTAAATGTGTGTGTTTGTATATTTTTCTGCAAAAATGATTTAGTAATTTTTGCCAGATTTTCAAAGGCACCCACAACCCTTAAAGGCTTGATGGGGGTTCAAAAAGCCAGAAAGTTTGTCGATGCCTAGCTCTTTCTTTTCAGAGGAAGATCACAGAGACCTGAAAACAGAGCCCAGAGTAGGTCCTAGTAGTTCTGCTCAAAATCCAGGGATAACAGGGGCCAGGGACTGGCTGACTGGCCCTCTATAAAAGAACACATTTAAATCATTTTAAGAGTCAAGGGCCCAGAAGCCAGACTAGTGGGTGATGGTCACAAAAGCGTCAACAGATGGGAAAACAGTCCTAGCTCCTTCCCTCTCCGATGGTGGATTCCCAAGTCTTTCTCTTCTGTAGCCCTTTACCCAGCTTTCAGAAACCCAAAGACCTCACTAATGGAAACTCCGAATTCATTCAGTAAACACTGAGCGCCTACTATGTGCCCGGCTCTATTCTAGGCGTAAAATAAAGGATTTGCCTTCAGAGTGTGACCCACCAAGGCCAGTTTCCTGCCTGGACAGGGGTATTTTGAGTATTGCTGATCAAGTGTGTTTTTCTGGCGCTTAGCACCCCCATTCCCCTGGTCCAGAGAGGCAGAAGCTATCCCCCACACGGCAGCGGGTTAGGGGCGAAGAGAGGGGACCAGTACCTGTGATCAAAGCGGTGAGGGAGGCTAGTAGGACGCGGGCAGCAGGAGCAGGAGGGCCAGGCCCGACCCGGCCACTGCTGGTGTGGGGACTAGGTGGGACGGGGTGGGGGCACTGCTCGTGGGGACAGGGGGTGGGGTGGAAGCGGCACTGCCGGCAGCCGCCTGGGCCTCTGCGCGCCTGATCTCGGAGCTGCGCTCGCCCGCTCCCCGCCTGCGGGGTCCGTCGCGGAGCCCTGCTCTCCATACTCAGCAGTCCCCGGGAGGTGCTTGGACACGTCCCCAGGCTGGATAAAGATCGGCTCCGCGCTAGATCCGATGTCGAAATCTCGCCATCAGCGCGGCTCGCGCGGCCGCTATGGCCTGGCCCGGCGACGCCAGATCGCTATCCTGGGGGAGAAACGGGAAGGCAGCGACGCCGCTCTCGCCGCCACCCTTGGTCCTGAGCGCAAGCGTGGCCGCGAGGTCCTGGGGCTCGCCGCTTTCCCCTCCCCCTTCGCATTCCTTCCCTGTGCGGCCTCCCCAGGGACCCCCGCTTCCCTCCCGCCCGGGGCCCCCAGTGCCCAGCCAGGCGCCCTCTCCCCTCCTCGCCAGGCCCCGCTGCCTCCTGAAGGTTACGCGACGCAGTGGCGGGGCGCGGGGGGGCGCCCGCCCTCGCCGCCGCCTGCGCCGCCGCCCACCCCAGTGCCCGCCGCGCCGCGCCGGGCCAGCCCGGCTGCCGGCTGCTGCCACCGCAATCCCGGCTCCTAAATCAGCGCGGGGAGGCGCTCCCTCCCCTCGCCCGGCTCCCCGGGCTCCCTGGGCCGCGATTGGCCGCACGGGCGCCCCCCAACCCGGGCCCCCGGCTCCAGCTGCCGCGCCATTGGCTGCGGGCCTCCGCCAGCCTTTACATAAGCCCGGGCGCGCTCGAGTGGAGTTGTATAAAGCGAGCGCGCGGCGTCGGGGCGGGAGGCTCGAGGCCAGCCCGGGACCGGGGCTGGGAGCTAGCAGGCGGCGGCGCCGGCGGCAGAGGCGGCAGCGAGCGCCCGCTTCCCACGCCCCCAGGCGGCGGGGCCGAGAGCGGGAGGATGGCTCCGAGCGCTGACCCCGGCGTGAGTACCCGCACCGGTGCCCCCCACCCTCAGGCAGGGAAAGTTTCTCCAGCTCTGCGCGCCCCCCCGATCCGCCCGCGAGGATGGCGGGGACGCCGCCCGGGAACCGGGGAAGACGGGGATCGCGAAGGCGGCAGCTTCGCTCCTAACTTGCTGGGAGGCGCTGGACTCGATTGGCGCGCGGAGCCTCCCCTGCGGGCTGGGGGGCGAGGCGGGGGCCGGGTTGGAGGTGGCAAAGAGGTGAGAGCCGAGGTGTGGGGGCAAGAGCCCGCAGCTGACAGAGAAGGTGTTGGGGGCGCGCTGGAGGTCAGCTATCAGGGGAGGGGGCCTCCGGGGCCGGGAGGGGGCGGAGCGGGTGAGGAGGGACGTGCCAGGGTATCGGGAGAGTCTCCCAGTCAGCCAGGCTGAGATCCGGGCCGGGGAAGCCACTGGCCTCGGCCAAGTGCCTATGCTTCTAGGCTGGGGAAGAGCCCCGGGGGCTGGACTCTTCCTCCCCTGGGAAGCCCAGTTCCCGGACACAGCGCTGGGTGGCAGAGAGCTCCGGGAGCCAGCCCCGCGCGCGGCGTAGCTGCTAGCCGCCTTATGCTGGACGAGGTGTGGTCTTCCCTTCAGGCTGCCTCAGGCAAGCCAGCTTCAGGCATTCCAGGGAAACTGTGAGTCCTCCTCGACCCCGTGGGGGCACTTGGAGGCTTTGATGGGGCAGCCAGGCCGGGCTTGGGGGCATGCCCAGCAATGCAGCGCGCTTCTTTGCAGTACAGTAGTTGGGAGCCCTGGTTAGTCCCGCTTCTGCAGAAAGCAACTCAAGAATCCAAAGTCATACCAGCCTGGATGGAAGCCTCCCAGAGTGGCGGGGAAATTCTCCTAGGGTTGAGAGCCTGGGGGGGCTTTCTCCGGGAATGACTAATGAATATTGCTGCTGCTGCTGCCGCTGCTGCTGGTGATGGTGGTGGGTGCACCTTGTGTGGCTTCTGCACATCTAGGAGATGCTTCAGTTCTCCTGACAGGACACATTCTTGAGTCGTACTTGAGATATCTTCTCGGATGGGTGCAGGACTTTCCACGTGAAGCCAGGTGGAAAAGAAGGGAAGAGGGTTCCAGGACAGGGGACAGTTCTATAGTGTTGTCTTGAGTCAGGGGAGAACTCATGTGGGAAGAGATAAGCGATTGACAGAAATTTGGAACCCAGATGACTTGGGGCTGGAGATGTCCAAGACTGAATTAGAGCTCATTGAGAGAGTCACACAGTACCTCACCCTCAGCCATGGGGGAGAGGTGGAGGCTGGAAAAGTGGGAACATGGTGGCTGTTCCAGCATGGTTCTTGAGAAAATGTTGTCTCTCTCTCTCTCTCTCTCTCTCTCTCTCTCTCTCTCTGACTTGGTTAAGAACATCCTTCTGGCAGTAGGTCCTAAAGTCAATTTAAGAGGTAATGAAGAGAGTTGAGGGTCTTGATGATGACACAGAGGACCAAAATTAGAACATTCCACTTTCTGGTGGGTACTAATGGTCTCTGGAGAAGGTGAAAACTGTGTGTGGGGAGTCGGGGAAACCTGCTCTGTGGCTGCTCATTTGGGGCTGAATCCTCCACCTTATCCCACCCCTGAATGTGGGTGGATGTTCAAACTCCTAGGGTACCTGCTTCAGCCTGGAGATATTTTATGGGGGCTATCAATCCATATCCCAACCCCCAGCTCCATCGTTGTCTGCCTGCAGTCAACATTCTTCTGCTGCATTTCCCAAGACCTTCTCTCCACTGGGGATTTGTGCAGCGAAATACCTGCTTGTTGCTCTTTCTTCCCTTCTCCATCTGGGCAGCACCTGGTATTCTGAATCCTGGTGTTTATTCCTTGGCACCTTGATGTTTGGTTAAGACGTCCTATGGCTGCACAGGGGTGCCCCTGTGAATGTGTGGACCAATTGCCTGTGTAATTCTAGGGAGTGAAATAGACTCTTTTAGAAAGAATACCACCAACCAGGAAGGCAGTCCTATTAAACAGCTTTTGACAGCCTCCCATACTCAAGCGCTCCCTTGCTTCCGATGCTGAGGCGGTAGAAGCATAAAGGTGGAGCAGACTCCTTGGTGTCCAGTAGGGGGCGCCAAAGGTACCTAGCTCAGGACCACTGACTTTCTCACTTCTTGCCCTTCACTGGCTGTAGCAACTTAATGCTTTAAGGCAGCTCAGCCTACAGCCTTCAACCACCACCATCGTAATTGGAATCCTTCTACCACATGCTTCCTGGACTTCAGGTGGTCCTGTGACCTCAGGTGCAATGGGGCAGGTGCAAGCACAACGTTCCAAGGAGACAGAGCTGGTACACAGCCCCACCCTCTCTCGGGGATCATTCCTTTGTACTTGGAGCCGCTGTGTTACTTGAACTCTTTAAGGGTTCATGGAGTTCCAGAACATGAGAGCCAGAAGCAAGGAGACTTGGAGAGCATCTCATCCAACCCCATCCCATCCCAACGCTCACATGCATTTAATTCACAGATGAGAAAACTGAAGCTGGATAAAGCCAAGGTCACATGACTATTTGGTGGAAGACATGGAACCGGGTCCTAGGATTCCCAGTGCTCGATTCAGAGCTGTTTCCACTCCAGTGGCCTGCTTCCTCTTCACTACAAAGATGGACATACTTTCTCTGTACAGTAGTCACTCATAGTTATTGACTGACCAGGCTTTGGTAAATGAATACATCCCATACAGTTGGGGAGATTCTCTTTGAATCTGTTTTTCAGAGTGAAAAGGTGAGGAGAAAATACAGTTCTTGTCGTGGACATACACAGGTCATAGAAAGTCCTAATTATTCTTTCCCTCCCTCTACAATCTCCTCTCATTATTCCAAGTGGTGTTTTAAGCAAAAGCCATGCAAGTCCAGGTTTCTGTCTGTGCATTTGGAGTCAGAAATGCTGAGTCCCCCACTGTGGTCTTGGAACCCAGGTCTGGAGCACCAAGGAATGCTGGCGTGGGGTTTCTCTGTCTTGCAGTCACACCATTGCTGGTGAGACCTCCCACATTCATTCTAGATGGATTGGAGAGTTTCCAAAGAGTATTTGCCTATTTCCCCCACCCTTGCTGCTCCTAGCTCAAGGTCAGAGTGCTAGGACATTCTATTTTTGCAAAATCCTTATGTTTGGGCTTCTTGGGTGACCTGCAAGATACTACCATTTCCATTGCCCTTTCTTCTGTTCCGAGAGCCTGCTGTTGACATCTGAGCTGGGCTCTGGGAAAGAGGTTTGCTGAGTGGCGTGTGGGCTGCCCCCTTTGTTCTTGTCTCCCCACCTGGCTTCTTTGCACACTGAATGGACTTCCTCCTGGTTCTCCTTGGAGCCTCAGCAGACTTGGCGGCCTACCCTCATAAGAAACCCACTGCTGCCAAGCCAGAATTCTGAGAGGCGGAATCCTCTTCTCTCCCTAAGGCTCACGAAAGGGATGCTTGTTGCCAGGGAAGATGCTTGAGTCCCCTCCTCTCCCTCATGCTCACAGAAGATGAAGTTGGGCTTCATCTTCAGCGAGAGGAGGGAGGTGGCAGGATCACATGGACTACCTGAGAGCAAAAGCCCCTCTCTTTAAACTGGAGTCTTAAGAGGCTGTGCTTGAGATCTCACCAGCTCCTAGCTTTACCTGGTGAAATGAGCCTGCATTCTCAAGACTTGCTCTAGTTCTGGATAAGACCGGAGGAATATACTTACATAAATTGTGGTTATAGTATAAACTCTCTGGACTTTTGTTTGAATGCGGGATTGGGTAGAGAGCTTGAGAAGTGGCATTAGACTAAGAGAAACAGGAAGTTGTCCAGTGGGGCTTTTATGAGCCCCACCGGATGACTGACCCGTTCCCCTCTCATTGTAATGGTAAGGACACAGGCTTAGAATCTGGTCTGTGCTTGCTGGCTTAGAGACCTTAAACAAACCACTTAACCTCTGCAAGCCTCAGTTTCCTTCTCTGCTAAATGATGAGGCTGACAATCGTGTGATGAGGGTAGGGGAGCGAAGCTGGAGGGAGACAGTCTTTAGTATTTCTCTGCCCTTGGTTAGAGGTAAAGAGGTATTCAATTGGAAGGCGATATTATTGCTGAATCACTGGGAACCCCCGGAGTCTTCTTTTTCCCAGAGAGTGAGCCTGAGTGCCCAGGTTTGCACATCAGCCTCTGCTCACAGCAACATCTGGGCTGATGGGCAAGGCCTTCTTCGCAGGGCTCCCTCCTTGCCTCTTTCCCTCCCCCACCTCAGGGTTTTCACTTTGGGGTTCTGCCATGCTTGGGAAAAAGAAATTTTACAGGTCCCAGGGTAATTCTGAATGTGATGGAGGGCCCTGAGCTATTGATTCCTAAGGAAGGATCTTTCTGCTGGGAGAAGCCTTCCTCGGAGCCCAGTGATTTAAGAGTGCTGACAAATTCATGCTCACCGAGCCTCCTGCAGGCTGCAGATACAGGCTTCCAGGCCAGCCTGGGCTCTGCTAGGGATTTCTGGAGAGCCTGGCTGGTTGCTTAGGGGACATAAACCTGTGAACTTTCCTTAGGAGAAAGTATGAAATCAATTGGTTCATTATCACACCAAACACACCCTGGACCACTTAGGGCATTTAAGAAATGAGAGGTAGCAAAGGACTGAGAGGTTGTCTTTGAAAAGTGTGCAGAAAGGTGTGAAAGGGTTGGGGAAAAGGAAGGGAGAGGAAGACCTTTTTTCCAGTGAACCACTCATGATTTTGACCTTATCAAAGTCCTTGAAGGTGACTACAGGGGTTATTTTGTTCCCCCTCCCAGATATTTGGCAACGTCTGTAGACGTTTTTTCTTGTTACAACTGGGGAATGGGGTGCTACTAGTATCCACTAGGTAGAGGCCAGGGATGCTGCTGAACATCATACAGTGCACAGAACACGCCTCATGACAAGGAATTATCTGGCCCCAAATGTCATTGACACAAAGATTGAGAAACCCAGGACTGGAGCATCACAGTACAGAATCACAGCACATTAGAGGTAGGAGGGATTTTGGAAGTA